ATTTTTAATACATTTTTATAATTATAAAAGTGTACTCAAGTATAACGCTTAGAAATTTAATAGAAAACAGTTTTATAAAAATTACAATTTTTTATGTACAAATTTAGGTTCTTATTATACCTCAATATTTTAACTATAACCTTATTAAATGTATTGGAACTTATTGTTTATGTAAGAAATCATATTTAATTTAAAAATTTGAAAAAAAACTAAACGAAACATTGCAATATTTTAGAACTAATTTAACATTACGGTAATGAATTATTCTGAGTTAAATTTTTCAAAACATAAGATATACAAAAACATCATTGTATAATTAAAAACTGTTCTATACAACTGTTAAATTAATTTTTGAATATTCAAACAATGCAATCAATTGGAATATGTTACTCCCACATAATATAAAATGGAAACAAAAACCAGAGTATCCCTCTGTGTATGATTAAACGATTCGAGCACTCGACCATTACATAATAGTATACATATACTTAATATATATTGACAATATTTTATATTTTAATAATTTAATTTAATTTTTAATAGATTACTAACAAGTTAAGCAAACTTGTGAAAGATTTAAAACCACTAAAATTTTATGATTTCTGTACAAATCTAATTATTTATTTTAAATTAAATATATAATATCATTAAATTTATAAAACGGATTGCAGTCAAAAATTTATATTCCAGATCAGTAAGACTGCATAATATGTAATGTTATAGAAATATTCCTCATAATACGTTTAATGAAAATGAGAATAAAATATATAACTAAAAACCAGAAATATCCAGCCTACATTTTCTGTTTTAATTATTTTAATAATTTACGAAAAATGAATAATGGTATTCAAATTAATTTAGAAATCAGTGCAATTATTGTAATTCAATTTATTATATATTTTTATACATATAATTTAATTTTACTTTACTAAATTTGTTAATAGAAAAAATATGAATTCATAATTGTATACTCAAATTTTAAAATAAATAAATATCGAAAAAGATAGAAGAGTTACATCGTGTTAATATTAAATAATAACCACATATATAAAGAAATTAAACGATTTATGAAATATAATAGTACTTAGATATAATTACATCAAATATACGGTACATCCAATTCTTTTCACACAGCTTTAAATTCAATCAATACAATAAATAAATACATAACTATATAAATATATGAAAACTATTATTATTAAAAATACAATAGAAATTTGAAACGAAATTTAAAAATATTAATTTATCCTTTTTCCTTTCTTCTTCTCCCATAAACTATTCCTTAAGTGTACCGCACCCGTCGTGTACTCTTAAGTGGTAATTTCGACAACCTTTTAAATGGTGCCCACGTGCTTTTTCCCCCAATGCATATAAAATACTATAAAATAAGGTCATGTAACAAAAATGATTTTCACCCTATCGCGCTTACCAAAAATCCCATCATAACCCAGAAATAGTGAATCACTATTGGAAAAACATTGTTGAAACTTAAACATTCTTTTTACACACGTTTATAATGAAAATATGCCTTTTTTGTTTTAATTTTTATTACAACAAAAAAATAATACAATTTTTAAACTAACGACATACATCTGACGCTTAATTATTTCCCTCCCTTTCGACTATCATTATAATTAACGAAATTCTTTTGTTTTTTCAACTGTTTTTTTTTTTTTTTTTTTTAATTATAACCCATATTTTAATAGTTATAAAACATTTTATAAAATTAAGTAAAAATTTGAAAACCAAAATCATATACATAATGAATAAGTATATATTATGTAGTTTTAAATGACGTATATAATGACAAAAAATACAATTTTGAAAAACATGATGATTATATTAAATAAGTATGTCCTACGTTTTATTTTCTACTAAATAAATTGTTTATAAGTATTTTGGAGAATATTTAAATAAACAATTAGACATTTTTGTTTTTACCATCATAATAAATAGTTATTAATTTCCCTGAATCTTACACGTTTCTTTAAAATTACACATTTCTTGATCGAAAATATACAAAAAAAAAAAAATAAAATAAAATATGGTATACATAATTGTATAACTCGGCGTTTCCCAAATAATGGGTCGCGACCCATTACCGGGCCACGAAAATATAATACCGGATCGCAGAATTTAATGAAATTCTCATATTAAATTTGATATTCATCATTTCATTTGATAATTTGAACTTTTTAGTAAAAATAAATTCATTAACACCAATAACTATTATCTACAACATAAATGATAATTACTGAGATTATCAACTAGTATAACAGTAACAAATGAACGCTTCGATTTTATTATAAAATCCTATGCGGATATTCAAATTTGTTATATTTTGCTTTTTTTACACAATGATAAATATAAAATATTTTGGTGGGTCACGAAGAGGAAAAATATTAATTACAGGGCCGGCCTAAACAAGAGTTTGGGAAACGCTGGTTATAACTAACATAAGATACAAGTTTTTAAAAAAAGAAAAAAACCGTAAAATTTTAAAATGTTTTCACTTTTTATCTTAATCACAAATAAATTAATCAACCAATAATTATATTTTATTAATTATATTGGCTTTATTCAAAATACAAATATTTCAGTAACAATTATAACTGTTGTTGTTTTAAAGGTATACATAAATACAATTTTCTTTTAGTATAATTTTGTTTAATAACAAAATTATTTGGAGCATATAATCCTAATATGACAGTATAAATCTTTAGTCTGAACCGTTTTTCTTCACTTGGAATCATTTTTCGAAGCTAAAGATACATTAATTAAGCAAATTTATTATAACGATTTACAAAATCAGTTAACCATTTCTGTATTCAACTCGACTCTTACATCTCACCCAATCCTCATTATCTCTCAATTTTTTTAAAGTTAAATTTAAAAAACTTTGTATTTGCTTAAAAAAATGTTCTAACATTGGTAAATAATTAATATTCTAGTACATTTTTATAATTTAAAGAAAATTTCAAAAAATGTATACCTATTAATTTTAAGTTAAGCATCCGAATAAAGTATTCTATATTTATAAAATCAAATTTAAAAATAATTATAGATAATGATTATTGTTCATGACGAAAACCACAAAACACACTAGATTTTCTATTTTTAACATTTAAAATTATAAAGCGTTCACTAAACCAAATTTCAATTCATTAGTACAATTTTGTGAAATTAATAAAAATTTTACTAGTATATTATGCTAAAAAACGGACAAAGTCAATCACCAATAAACCAATAAATACATATTAAGTCACTAATTCATTAAAGCAAACAAATATATGAATCTATTCTCGTTTTTTAAAAATGAAAACTTTGGTGCAGAACACAAGATCCTATTAGCTCCTTGTTCTCCCAAGGGAGATCAAATCCAGTGGATATTTTGAATGGCCACTTAGGGGTTTAAATAATTATAATAATTAATTTAACTGCAATCATCAGCAAGCAAAGTATCTCACTATGGGACAATTAAGAGAATTGAAGTTTGTACGTTTTAATAGTTTAAAACCAAAATGTTGGTACCTGTTAAATTTATAAATTATATAATAATAGGAACGGATCGAAATAAAATTAGTTCTAAATGTTAAAATTAAAAATTTTAAATTAAAATATTTTTTCTAAATATACCATATAAAATAAATTATCATACATTATTTTCTTATAAGAAAAAAATATTAAATATACATATCATATTAATTTGTTTTTTAAATTTCATTGATTAAATATTGAATAACATAACATCTCTGAAAAATTTTACTTAAAACAAAAAAATCAATAATTTCGAATTATTTTCAAAATATTTAAGATTTATTATGTTTTGAGAATATATCATACCTACGAATTGCAATCTACAAATATGGTAAGTTAATAGTAGTGACTTATAAAAGTACTATTAAGATAAAACTTATTACGACCATTTCACATTTTGATGATCGAAACAAGTCTTCTGGTCGAAATCGTGTGTGCAAAAAAAACACATATTATAGAAAATCAATTATTTACTCGATTTACTTATAATCTACAAAAAATTACTTTCAAATCAAATTTCAAGTTTGGTATGACGCTATGAAGTTTATTATATACACATGGATATTCTTAAATAAAATAAAATGTAAATTAATAAATACTCAAAATACCTAAATAAGCAATGTACTTTCATTAATTTCATTACTATACCATAAAGAATAAAATTAATTAAATATTTCAAAAATTTAAAATAGGTACTTAAAAAAAATGATAAAATCTTATTTCTATATAATTTTAAAATATATAACATGATATATATATATATATATATATATATACTCTCAAATATTAACTATGCACAAAAATAAATTATAAGAAGTATAAAATAAAAATTTAATATTTTAATTATTTAATAGACAGCAACATACAATCCTAAAATCCAAAGTAATTACTACCTTCATTAACTTTTTGAAATATATGTTCAAAAACCTAATCAAACAACTACTTTCTTTTTAACATTCAAATAAATAAATATATATATATATATATATATATATATATATAATATGTTATCGTTATTCAATGGTAGTATAATATACAAATAAATGTTAAAAGCAATATAAATATAAAATTACTTGATAATATATTTATTTTATGAATTCCTGGTTTTTAATATTAAATCTACTTCATCATAATTATTATAACCTATAATTAAAATAACTAAAAAAAACCTAATAAGCTTGTTAAGCAAAAATTAATTAATAACATTTTTTCTCATTACAATCTTTTATATCAAAATAAATGCATAGAAACAGTGTTATCTATTACTGGTTGAAAATCCCATACATGATAAACGATTTCATAAATTTACCCATTGCATTCCAAATGAAAATTAACATTTAAATTATGGTCTATAACAAATTATCTTTTCTAAAATTATACTTAGCTAAAAAGAAAATATTTTGCCATTATGTTTATTGAAATATCTGTAAATTAAACTATATAAAACATAAAAAAAATCTTACTTCGAACTGCTGATATTTTTGGTCTCACGTTCTCTTGCCATCCTGCGCTCGCAGGAACCCACCACTGAGCAACAATCAGCAACAGACCAGCGAATATTACACCTTTCATTGTATATCCTCCGAGTACGGTTCACATCGGAAATTATATTTTTTACGTAAAAATAAACAAATAAATTAAATAACAGTGAATAGATCAATTTTACACATCAAAACGCGACTTTATCACCGAACTAAATGTAAAATACTATTTATTTACACTACACGCAATTATTACTACTACTATATATTTTTATATTATGGTCGAAAGAGTGCGCGCGTACGTTAGTGCAAACGGTTACGGCGGTACTGCCGTCTGCGGTTCGACTTAGCACCACTGACGCAATGCGAATCCGAGATGACCCGATTGGCGCATGGTCATCTGATGATGGCAGTAATGGCGCTCCACAATTTTATCAACCACTGGGACCTGGAAAAAAATTAAATAAAATAATTTTTATACCAAAATATATTTATTCAAAGCTTACACTGTTTTATAGTGATTTATTTAAAAAAATTTAAATTACATTATCGCTAAAATTAAATAATTTAAACAATCTTAAAATCCTTGTCTATCTCATGAATTAAATATAATCAATGTGACAAGTACTTCACATATAATTGCACATACTTGATTATCATATAACAAGAAAAAAATAATTAGCTCCAATTGTAGAAATATTTTACTACAAAACTAATAAAATACTTATGACTCAATAAACACATACATACAAAAAAGGATTATACTATTATAGGATACTCCTAATATTTGAATTTAAAATTTTTAGTTCATCACCCAAGAAAATCTTTTGATTTTATAACAATATAATCCTAAAAATAATAAACCAAGTATATTTTATTTTTATTTTTTTTAATATACTTAAAATATCAAAATATACTTAAATTACAATAAAATTAAGCAATTTGTAAAAAATATAAATTACAGGAAATAATATACAGAAAGATTCGAGTAAAGATGGATTGATGTGATTGAAGGACACCTAAATACCAGTGGAATATTTAAGATGTACTGCCATATCCATACGTTATTTTTCTAACAATATCTATTGAAATTTATTTATATTTTCTGTTATATAAAAATTACATTCAAAGATATTCTTCAAAAATATATATACACAGTTAAAACGTATAGTATAAATTATTAGAATAAATAACTATCATGTAAACAAGTACAACTTTAAACTTGTGTAAAGATAACTTCAATTTAAATGAAAGATCTACCCTTGTTATAAAGAGACTGGCAGATTTTTTATGATTCAGCTTTAATATTCATTACTAAATATTAAATTTTACCTTGATGTCGAAGACAATAGTTAATAAAATTGTTAATTAAATAGTACTGAAGATAAAATATAAATTATTCAGTTGAATTAAAAATATAAACTACTCGTACTACTGTATTTCACAACAACAAAAAAACCAACAACGAATAACCATTACCTCCAAATAAATAATAATATGCTTTAAAAATAATTTATAAAAATGAAGATTAAAAAATTTAAAAATGCAAAAATAGTTAAGTTTAAAATTATATAATTCTCATTACAATTGCCTAAAACCCATTTTCTGTAAACAAAGTTTATATCAGAGCGCAGTAGTTGATCGGACACCGTTTTCAATCAAACCACTGACTCTCGGATGAAAGACTATTCAAGAACTTATCAACAAGGTTTGGACATTTCCTTTAAAACAACATAATTAACCTTATAATAATCGTCGAGTTGTATTAACAATAAACTAAAATCTACAAAAAAAAAAAAATGTAAGAAAAAATGTATTTTATACAAGTTAAAAAAAAGCACACGAATCTTTACCCTGCTTATACAATATAAATTATGTTCTTTTTTTTTTGCTTCCCAATTTTTTTTTTTTTTTTTTTATATATATTAATTAATAAATGTAATTAGAATTGTTGAAAATAATATATTTTATACATTTATTATGTATAATATATGTGGAATATCTAGTGAGAAATTAAGAGAAATTTCGTACATAAACTATGATTACTAATCAGTATTTAAAGGTGGACTGTTAAAATTAAACATTCAGTTATGACAAAAATTATAATAATTAGGTTGAAAATAAAATTAATTTTTAAGTTATCTGTATGAATTCTACAATAGTCACCAAATATTATGAAGATGAAGAGAAAATAAAAAATATCTGATATTACCTAATGTAGTTAGTTTACTAAGTGATTATAGTTAGTGAGCGATCGAATTAAAAGTTTTGTAAACATTTTCCAATACATCAATGATACATGCTCAAATAATTTATTTAAACCATGCATTAGATTATTTCTCCCAAAAAATTAGCACTAATTATCTATTTATTATTTATTCATATATTATTTTTTTATGAATTGAAACTCTCATAATAATTTTTGACTTCTATGGTGAATGATGATAATAACTGTATTCCAAATTTTTCTGTACTAAATAAATTTCAAACACATATAAAACATTAAAAAAAATGTTTGAAAAAAGGATTTATTTTGTTGAGTAAGTTTTCTCTCTAGTCTAACAATATAAACATCCGTTGTTTGGGCAATGGTCGAATTGCACTTATTACTTATAAAAAAGTAGAACAGACAATTGGTGAATATCAAAGTGGTTTTAGACCAAGAAAGTCAACGACAAATATTTGTTTTTAGGCAGCTATATCAAAAAACTTGAAAATTCGATAAAGAGATACATACGTTATTCGTTGACTTCAAAAAAGCATACAGCAGTATTTTTAAGGAGTCTTATAAATATCTTGAAAAAGTTTGATTTCCCCCAGAAGCAGGTCAACTTAGTTTCAATAAGCAACATGGAAACTATGGTAAAAATTAGAGTTAGAAGCATGAAATTGGAGCCAATACAAGTACAATCTGACCTTAAACAGGTTGCTTTCATATTATCCATTTTTTCCACCCGCTTTTGGAAAAAATAATAAGAGAGATGAAAATTTAACGTCACGAAGGAATAAAACTCCGAAACTCAGCTATTCCCCTACTGGCATACGCAAATGATATAGCGCTGATGGACGAATCTCAAGTTGTAAAATTTATATTTTTGAATTTTAAGTTAAGTAAAATGGCTCTGTGAAAGACCTAATAAATTGGCGCAGTAAGTAGGACTACAAATTAATGAACAAAAAACTGAATATATGATAGTGTAAGAAATTGGATAGATCTGAATAGATTTAATTCATTCAAATATCTTGGCTCAATTGTGAGTGAAAAAATGATTTCATAAGCAATGAGAAACCAGAAATCTCTAGTAAGAACGGTATTGAAACAGAATCCAGTAGGAAAAACTCTTCAGAAGGCCAAAATTGAGATGGGAAGATTTAGTTAAGAAGAATGTCGAAGAATTAGGAGACAGAGTAAACTGGAAGAATTTCGCAATTAATAAAAACGACTGGAGAATTGATTGTGAGACAAGATAGCCCTAACGGCAAGAAAACCCGGAGAAAAAGAGGAAGTATTAATTTAAAAATGTACTAAATATTAATTGTAGAAGATGATCTATAAAAATTGTTTCAGCAAACTATCTTGTGAATGTACAGAAAAATATGTTTTTTATTTATTTTTGTCTATTATTGCATAGATACATATAAGATAATTCATTTATTAGACACAATATATAAATTATATTATATGTAATTAATAATTATGATTTAACTTTTAATATTAAGTTAGACCTTTGAAAATATGATTTTAGAAAATGTGAGATAAAGTACAAAAAGTACTTAATCATCTAACTGATAGTCCAATTTTCTCTTCGAACCTAAAAGATATTAAAAATAAAACACACAAGACTAAAATACTAGTAGACTGCAAGGTCTAAAAAAAAAAAAATTAACAAATTTTGCATTACCTTTGCAAAGAGGTTAGTTATATAGAATTTTCATCCATGTCATATCAGTGGTATCGCACTACATTTGAATAATAAAGGTCGTTGAACGTCAAAATAAAATCAGCTAGTACAAGTCAATAGTATATTCCAACCGTCAATCGAATATTAATTTTGGAAAATGTCTCAAGAGGATTACAATACATTTCAGCAACAAGCCCACACTACACTGGTATCTTTTATGACATTTTTATTTATAAATGAACACCTATATTGTTAGGGGGTTGTATTCCCAATACATAGGCGCAATTTAAATTTAATATCCGGGAGGGGGGGGGGGCTTGAAAAATATATACCAAACAAACCCATGGAGGACTTTTCCCTCAGACCTCTTTAACCAATCTTACTTTCACCATCATACAAAATAATTATATCACTAAATATAATATTTTGAAATATAATGTCCTGAAATTTTTGGGAGTCACAGCTAGGTATAGGGGGAATAAGTTCCCCAAACCCCCTGATTTGAGGCTATGCCACAATACCCCCTCAATAAAAGCTGCTGATTATGGCATACTTTAATATCAAACATCAAACGTTAATAAAATGGCAAAGCTAAATCTAATTATTTTTAAATATTAAATAAAATTGACTTTGGTAAAACACATTGAATATAAAGTTGCTTATTTAAAAAATATATATGTTAATACTTTCTTGACGATGATACACATTATTTTTAAATAAATTAACTAAACTATTGCAAAAATCGAAAGTTGATCAGTTTAAAAAACCTTCTTCATATACAAGATATAAATAATATTTATCTATAAATACAGTATATTACTCAATTACCTTAAAATTTATAATTAGAGTAAAATCATAAATTACCAAAAAAAATGTTAAAACGTAATTGAAACTCTATCTTCTTTTATAAACATTTTTAACGGTCTTTAAAACTTTCTAAGCCTACACTCTATCGAGACCTACTTACCCGTTGTAACTTAAAATGCATTTTGTGAGTTTCTTTGATTCTGAAACTTTGGTCAACAACAACCCTGTGTAATGCACATATGTGCTTTATGGCTTTTCCACAGTTCACATTAATAATGCCAAAACAGTTTGGTTAAACTCGTCCAATTAGTCTACACTCGCCGGTATTTTCTGTGCACTGATAAAGGCAACAGAAAAGAAGAGAGGAAAGGATGGTGTAGAACTACAAAACTTTTTCAGAAAGTATATGCTACGCAAAGCCGGATGATAGTGTAAAATGTTTTATGAAATCTTCCCCTCCCTCCTTCTCTTATAAAACCCCTATCAGCTTTCTGAACGAAAAAGTGAACTTTTTAATTATCCAGTATTTAATACTTTTTCTCTTTTAATGTTTAACACAATTTTTCATTTGAATTTAATATCACGGCATTAGAACAAAAAATATTAATTATGACCTAGTTTTATTTAACTATTGATATAAGAATATAATTCTCATTAAAACGTATAAGAGGCATTGTATTTTAAAATATTTTATAAATAATATCATCTGCGTAATGATAAATAATGTAATGCGAGTACA